TTTTGCAAAGCCTGTTGGCTATCTGCTGGCTGTTAGCTGTTGTCTGGTGGTGCTATGCGTGCTTGCTGTTGCTGCTGTTTTACCTGTCAAAGCGAGTTATAGAAACGAAATTGTAAGAAAATTTTTTAAGTTGTCACGTTCCATGATCTTAATAATATAACCTATGATTGGTTCTAGGATTTCTTTGGCAAATGTGTTCAACTGAGTGAACCAATGATTGGTTCCCAAAATACAACAGTGCATTCGAAATTTAATTAGTAATAAAAAAGTTATTTCTTGCCAAGGACAAGAGCAGCACCAATCCATCCATAAATACCCCATCTTTCACCAAGAAGGAACCAAGCAAAGCCAGCTCCCCAAATTGGTTCCAGTCCGTAAATAATAGCTGCTTTAGTTGCTGATACTTCCTGCGCTGCAGAACTAAATGGATTCAGAAATGATGGACACAATATAATAATCCTAAATGACAATAATTTCCTAAATGGTCAACAGTACTCCATATGCATAGCTGTTTTACCTGTGACAACAAATGGTATGCTTAATAGTTCATTATATATCTAATTTACCTTCCACATATCATCTTCCAATTCCAGATTTCCAATTTCCAATTTGACTGCTGATTCACAGTATAGGGCTTCTAAGTTGGAACTTAGGGAAGAAGTACAAAGGCCGTAGAAAGAAATAAAAATTGAGATGTGTCTTTCATTTGTTTGGGCCCTTTTAATGCCCATACAAATTAATACTAGCCATGATTGTAACTAGAGACTAGCCTTTATTCAATGCAAATACAAAGATCAAGTCTTTTGAACTTAATTAATCCATGTCTTTACTCAAGTTTTCGATAAATCAACATTCTAAATGCTTAATTATATCACTCCTAAATGCTTAAGTTAATAAGTTTATATTCATGCCAAAGTTCTCAACATTACTCTAATTCAAAATGTAATCTGCATGTTATCTTGCTACCATACTGCACTCTTTAAAAAATGTGCTCATTAAAATTTTCTCAAGCAAAAAACCTAATTAGAAATAAGATGAGAGATCAAGATTAAATAATAAGCAACCATGAGTGGGCAAAAAAAGAAAGAAGGCTCGCATTATTTTAACTAAACTTTGAACAGAGAGGTACCTCTACCCATAAGCATATCCCGGAGAGCACTCCTGTGTATATTGCTAATATCCAAGGAAAAGAGACCCATGATACCAAAAACAATTCCCATGTCCAAGGTCTATGACTTTCATCAAACCAGCCTTCGAATAAGAACTAGGTGATTGATGAGACTGCAACAACACATACCTGGATGAAACCTCAGAACTGCTCAGAAAACAGGCAAAAATATCAACATGTGCGATAAAAATAAATAAAAAATTTACATTCTTTTAACTATTGGCTGCCTAGGAATTGAAACACCCAATTGCCCAAACGTTATGGTTGATATTTTGACAAGGCTCTCAACCTCATATCCAAGGAGTGGTATGAAGTTCTCTTTTGTTGTGGTTCTTGAAATTCTCTAAGACTTCAACATATGGACACCAAAAAAAATCGCACTCAGAAGGTTAAAAAGATCTCCAACCTGGAAAAAAATTGATGTTGAATTTATCAAATATTAACAAAGTGTCAACATCTTTTAGCACAGAGTTTAGATGTATGTGATAAATGATTTTTCATTAAAAATTCAACATGACTTAAAGCATAAATCATTTACACTAGGTAGAGACCCACTACATTTAAGCATAGTGACCCCTAGAAGTTTAAAAGGCAGCCATTACATTACCAAAATCAACTCCCCACTCAGCACATTGTTCATAAAGACTATCCCCCTAGAAGTTTAAAAGGCAGCCATTCAAGCATAAGCATTTGGCGGTGCCATTTAAGTTTTCCTACTAGTGATAGCCCAATAAGACTATCCCCCTTCCTCTAAATTCTCAAGAGTCAGAATGTACAATACTCAAATACGGTTAAAAGACATGATACATTTCACCTATCATCACAATTCCGGTAAAAAAGCTTTAGTTTAATTATTTATGCAAATTTCAGAAACGAATACTAAGACACAACAAGCACTAAAACGAGGGTTTACCACAAAGCGATGGGTAATACTGTTATAAAAGAACAGATATTGGATAAGACATTACCTGTAGGTCTATAAGTTTTTTTTCTGTCCCAGCTCCTGTTTGGCACAAATTATCTCTTCCTTTTCAATTCCTGGACCAAAAATAAATATCAACCTAGATCAAACTGACTTTCAATTAATCAACAAGCAACAACAAGAGAAGCAAAATGCAGACTAAAGGGCTGAACTGCAACTATGACTATGAGTATGTTTCTAAATTTTTCCACTTGCATTCACCAAATCCTACATTGAGGGCAGCTACGCTCAGGCACTGAGTTTACACATAATTTTTGCCTTCAAAGGATTAGATCTTAGTGTCAAAAGACAGCTAGGACTATATTTTCATGAAAGCAACAGTGTAAATTGTGAGTTGTTTCCTCAAAGCAGATATATGTTTGATTGATGATATACATGTTCAATTTTACAAAACCAAACAGCAGACAAGAGAAAACATATAGATAATTAAATTTGAAAAAGAAGGGTACAATCAATCAACTAATGTAACATAACATCAATACTTTATACAGAGTTACATAAGGGAGATTAAATAAACTGATGGAAAGGACTCTATTAGATGTTATTTGTACATTCGTTGAAGTCCTCTTCCTCACCACCTTACAGTTTTGTGATATGTGAAGGAAGTTGTTACAAAGAGATAAATTTGACTTGCTCTAAGCAACATAGTTATTGATAATTGATAGATACAAAGTAGAAAGCAAAGACTTTCTTCCAAGATATTCTACACATTTAAAATATCAAAATCAATTTCACAAATCTATTCACTTTAGGGCCTTAGGCAGATGCTGCTATGTAAAATTTATTACTTGCTCAACTCTAAAACAGTTGTCTTGCCTAGATAACTTGCTGTAAATCAACATATAACACCAATTCTGATGGAATATGAAACTCCAAAAGATTTGGTTTCTTTAGAGATTAAGAGATGAATATGAACTGAAATTAAGCATGAAAGTGAATTAAATTAGTCCACATCCACCATGTCAAAATTTTAATGTCAGTTATAGCTTGAGACAAATATTAAAGCTAAGACTCGGTGAATACCTACTTCCACGCCACAATTTCAAAGCTGAAGTTAAAAGAGCATTAGAAATGCAAAAGAAAGGATATTACGAATCCACCATCAATGATAATGAATTGGAAATCCAATGACAATCCTTAGTTGACTATAAATGTACAACTAGACCTTATGTACCAATCAGTACAACTACAGAAGATTGAGAGCTGTAAGGCATAAATTGTGTATACTATACTAATTACTGAAAACATTCTTAACAATTCAAGAAAATGCCTTGAGCCAAAGATTATGGAAAAAGGAGGGAACATGAAGTACCTTTAACCTGGAATTTGGATCCATATAGATTTTGCAAATAATTTGATGACAAAGCTGTATGATTTGGAACTGCACGGTTAAGTAAATCATAGAACGTAAACATCCAGTGCGAACCTGAATCACAGACTTAAAATATTCTATGTCAGCTCGAATTTCAGCAACAAGAAAAAAAATTGGCCTCCCAACACATCATATTAAGATGTCATTTTCTACTTTCCTGTATGAGAAAGACATATGATCAGAAATTTATCTTTATTAAAAGCAAATATTTACTAAGAAGCATACAAGCAGATATAAAACTACATCTGCCAGGAAGGATGATGGAGCATGCAAGTTTACAGCAGTTCAACAAAGATCATGCACACACACACACATACAAGGGGGGATGGAGGTAAAAAGAGAGATTTCTGATCAAATATATCATAAACCTGATCAAAATGCAGTATCAGAAACCTCAAAAACAACACCATTTTTACCTAATTAAGAACTATCACAAAGTCATATAGTAACAATTTTATGCTCAATCGTGACACACAAAGCTAACAGAAAATTAGTCAAAATTTCTCGAATTATCCCAAATTTTCCTCACAATAAAAAAACCCTTAATCTCGAATCATAGAAAAAATAACTTAATTAGTAGAAATCAAACCGAATTGAAGAAAAAATCATACTTAAATAAGCAGGCAGCAATTAAAGATTAATAAATTCAACCAATTAAGGAGAGAGAAATTCGAGTATAAGAATGAAGTAGAGCTAAATATGTAGTGTTGTATTGAAAAATCCGGAAAAAGAATCAGTATGACGGAAACAATAGAGATTTACCAATTGGATGAGAGAGAAAATAATCACCACCAGCACCCACCTTGTAACCACCCTCTCACCGCCATGAAACCCCACCACAACCACCCAAAAGCCACCCAACCAACTCGCACCACCACCAATTGAAGCCCCACATCACCAGCGACCACCAACAAACCCCCAACCAACTCGCACGACCACCAGCGAACCGAAACAACCACCTTATTACCACCTCCAACAAAATCGAAACCCCAAAAACCACCACTAATTTAGATCTGAATCCCCAAATTACCACCACCAAGGAAATGAATCAAAATCCCACCTCACCACCACAAAGATCTGAAACCCCCACCTTACCACAACCAAGATCCAAAATTGCGGACACCTTCAGAAGCAAATGCAAGAAGAAGATGATTGAGGGACGAAAAGGTAGAAATTCACCTTCACCAATTGGTGTCGTGGTGACGGCGATGGAGTCTCGAGCCAGAAGTTTTAGGGCGACAGATCTGTAATGACGGGGAGAGGAGAGAAAAGGAGATTGTGATGAAAGTGAAAAGCGGAGTAGGGTTTGAGATTATACAGGGGTTTGAGATGAAAGAGGGACTACGGAAGAGTAAAAGTAAGATCGGAGACCGGGTTTTTTTTTTATTTAACTATTGCTTTCGCACCGGTTCGAAACGAACCGGTAGAAAAACAAACTTTTAACACCGGTTTGGTTAGAACCGGTGCAAAAAACAAATTTTTCCCACCGGTTTGGTCAAAACCGGTGCGAAAAGTCTTTTTCCCAATCCCGCCCATTTCTTTTACCACCGGTTTTCAAGAACCGGTGCGAAAAGTGCGGTGCCTAATTCATTTTTTCTACTAGTGAAAAGTGTCAAAGCTAAGAAAGGACATCATATTCAGTTATGGATAGTAATAGTTTCTAGCGTCTTTTCAAGTATATGTCTTGGGCTCTTAGCTCAGTGGGAGTTCATTGACTTAGTGGGAGCTAAGTAGCTTAATAAGGGCTAAGGTAGCTCGAGAAGGAGCTACATGTTTGTTTCACAACGAACTTTTACCCAAGACAATATATGTCTCTTTGTAAGTATTCAAGTGAGACTACGGGCACTACTTCCGCAACCTAATTTAGAACAAAGTATTTGTTGCTCTAAGTGGTGTCTTTCTGGAATGTAACACATTTCCAAAACGACAAGTGGGAGGAAAATGAACTCGATGACCATCGAGATTAGCAACAAACTAGAACTGAGAATGTTCGAACACATTAGAAGGGCTTCATTAGAATGATTAATCAAGAATATTCAAAGGACTTTACAAGTGCCTTAAATGAGAATTCAATACTCACTAAACTTTAGAAGTGTTGGAGTAAGATCAATATAATCAAAGGGCTTTAAAGGCACCTTGAAACTCAGTGTTTGATGTAATTACGCCGCAAAAGGTATAGAATTCACCAAAGGCTTGGATTGAATCCTATAAATTTCTATTAAATTAGATATAAACCTAAGACTTACAAGCATACTATTTACCATTGGATGGTGAAGGAATAGTGTCTTGTAAATTAGCTACAACAAATCCAAATTCCGAATAATGGTTAGAGGCCATAAAATTCAAAATAGACTCCTTATTTGTAAATCATGTTTGGAACTTGATAGGACGTCGTCAACCTATCAAGAAATAAGACCTAACTCGATCCTACTAAACTAGTAGCAAGGGAAAGAAAGGGTCGAACCCATGAGAGGCGTTGAATCAACCACCAAATGTTATTGTTTAAACAAGCTAGATTAAGTCGGGGGTTTTAAGTTGGTATTACGTCACACTATTCTAATTCAAATCAACTAATTCTAAGAGGTGATTAACAATATTAAGAAGGCCTAGGGCATGGGTTACACCACTCAACTTCATCACGGACCACAAGTAGCATGCATAGAAATGGTGATTTAGGGGATAAATTAGGGGAAGTTATCAAATGCACCCAACTACTCTCTCAAGCTAGAGGGATTACTTGACATCAAAACCATAACCTACTCTCGTGATTATGGGCAAGAAACAAGTGTTAAAACATCCTCACGATAACATGCAAATTCCCTTGACTAGAAATTCCTATTCTCATGGCAAATCAAGTCAATCAAGCATAAGGGAGCTTCCTCAAGTTCATCTCTCGATCCTTCGTTGAGGAAGCTAGATAAATAATTCAAGCAATGGCCAATTACAAGAATTAACAATGAAACCTCTTAAACTCAACTAATTAACACCCCACAATTAACAAATTAGTACATGCAACAAGTGTTGGTGATTACATTGAGGGTTCACCCAAACCATAGAAATTAGACTACTCACAATCCATGGAAGTTAAAGCAATTAAAGATTTCAAGGAATTCATGAACAAATTAAAACTAAGAATTAAGTAGAATCTAACAATTAAACATGCAAAGAACAACCAAACAATTAATAAAAAGCAAGAATTAAAGATAGAGGAGAGAAAGAAAGAGTAAGAAAAATTACTAGAAACTTCAATAATTGACTAACAATGGTGGAACTTGTCTTCTACAATGATTGGATTGAAAAACCTTCAAAACAAGAACTAAAATCTATGCTAATTTGAGGATTTTTGTGTTTCAAACTAAGAGGAGTATGAAAATCTGGAAAAAAATTGGGAACCCCTCTAAAATGGTCCAAAGGGGCTATTTATACTACCCCCTAAAATAAGAGGACGGAGAAAACAAGAAACGGGTAAACTGTAGGTCTGCACGGACGTGCTGAAGTTGGCACGTCCGTGCAGACCAAGGCAGAAACTCAGTTTAAGACGACCTGCTGCAGCACGGGCGTGCACCTTTGGCACGTCCGTGCTGCATCATCTGCACGAACGTGCAATATTTGGCACGTCCGTGCTGCCTCATAATCACGGAAGCACGTCCGTGCTGCATCATCTGCACGGACGTGCTGTATTTGGCACGTCCGTGCAGGCCTTGGCAGAAAGATGGGTTCAGGTCTGCACTCCTGCACGGACGTGCAACATCTTGCACGGCCGTGCAGGGTCTTCTGGGCCCTTTTCTTCGTGTTTTCTTCTACGATGCTCTTGTACTTGGATTCTTTCCATCATTTCCTTGCTTCTAACCTCGGTTTGGTAACCATGGGCTTCATTTGGTCGTCTTTGGACCTAAAATCTCAACAAAAACACTAACAACCCGTGAAGCATAGGATACACAAAAATTGCATAATAATAGGGTAAAAGTGAACCAAAACACAAATTTGTTCAGGTAAACTAGGTTCAAATACGCCCTAAAACCGCATAAAATAGCAAGTTATCAAATCTCTCCAAGCTAAGCTTTTGCTCGTCCTCGAGCAAACTAGTCATGACAAAACAAATAGAGGGAACTAACTTGTTATAGAAGGTTGAAGCAAAAGTTAAACCAAGAAAGGGTAGGCATACACAATAAACCGAACGATCACTTTTAGCAAAAGTGAGAAGCCGTTTAAACCTACAAGTCGCCTAGTAGGACGAGTCCATCTCTCGTGAGGGTTTCCAAAGAGAATCACCCACAACTCCCACAAACACAACACACGATTTTTTTTTTTTTTTTTTTTTTTTTTTTTTTTTTTTTATAGCCCAAGTCAACTCATCGGGATGTGATTCAAAAGCAAGACAAGTGAACAACATTCAAAAATCAACATCATAATAATGTACACATGAGTTAGAGACCAAGAAGGATGCTGAACAAGATTGCAATGGAACACTTCCTTAGGCTTTTTACTAGTTCATTAAAGCACATTTGCTCATTCCTAAGTCATAGCACATTTTTATTTTCGGTTATAAAATAGTGAAATACAAGTCCACCTCCCAAGATGCACAAACAAACTCCCTCCACTACACTCTACTATGAGATTTTTACAAGAGGAAACTAAAGATAAAGGGTGTGGGAGGCATCCACAAATTGACCTCAAAAGGGAAATGTAAAATTTTTTTTTCATAAGATAAAGCCCTTGAATTTGAGACTTTATTTATTTGCTCCGCCTTTTTTGACTGTTGAGCGGCATTTTTTTTTTTTTTTTTTTTTTTTTTTTTTTTTTTTTTTTTACTAATTGTGGTTTATTTTACCAATTTATTTAATAAACATAAACCTAATAAATCTCAAGCAAAGCTTTATTTTGGGAAGAGTGGAAGGCACACCAAGGGCACAAGGGACCGCAAATCAACTAAACATAACCTACTTCAAGTGTGCTTAGACAATTTCATGAACTTAATGTGCAAATGAACATTCATCGACTTTCATTTCATGTTCAAACCAAGGCAATCAAGTTTAATAAACTCCTATATGACTCCAACCCTTGCAAACACTTTTCTAAGAGTAACTTGTCATTCAAAAGCGAAGCAAGTAAATCACACACGAATCGTCATATGAGTTTCATCCTTGGGCACTTTTTCATCATTTTTTTCTCTCTTTTTTCTTTTTTTTTTTTAGAAACCAGGCTAAACTAGGCATAAAATAACTATACATCTAAATAAGGGATAGGAGAAGTATTCACAATGTAAGGGATTTGGATTTCAAAGGAAGCAATTTGGATTCAAAGGGTTTGGATGTTAGGGAAATGGGAATAGGGGCATGCAAATCAACATATACGTACAAGAACACAGCATGAACCAATGGTAAATGAGAAAATACTCCCCCCCAAGCTATCATAAACATTGTCCCCAATGTTGAAACAATATAAGCACAAAGAGAAGGGGAAGGAGATACTAACTCATTGGTTCGGGCCCCCTTGGGAGCTCGAACCCCCGGGGTAGAGATGCTTATATACATTGCGGAAGTCGCCCAATTCCGTTCGAAGACCCTCAAAGCTTGACCTCATTCCGTCGAAAGAAGTCCTCAAGTCTTCATTTGACTTCCTCATGGTCTCAAACTCGGAAGTCATGCGGGCGAAGTTCGCATTCATATTAGCCATCTGCTGCTCGAAGGTGAGGAATGGGTTGCCTTCACCCATGCCCTGACCTTGGTACCCCTCTTGGTACCCTTGTTGGAACTCGTACTGCTGGTGAAATTCTGGTTGTTGCTGAAATTGTTGTTGTTGATGATGTTGTTGTTGTTGATGCTGTTGTTGTTGATGCTGTTGTTGTTGCTCTTGCTGCTCTTGCCCTTGTTCCTCTCCCTCTTGACCGGGAGCCCAAGGGAAGTCCCTCTCAAAGATCCAGTTCGCCTGGTTGTAGATGGCGGTGGCCTCGGGGTCGGGTAAGTAGGCATAGGGGCGCCTACTCACCAACCACAAATAGGGGTGGTTCCCCTCTACATCCGTGAGCCATTTCATGGCTCTCAGCGACTGCATATCCAACTGTGTTGGACCTGGAACAACCTGCTCTTCTGCAAAATCAAGGTTAAGAGCAGCAGCAATTATAGTAATCATACCACCTATGGTGATGTTGCCTGATCCTGTGGCAACATCTTCTAGGTGGTCCATAAACCAAGACCCCACATTTAAACTCGTACTACCCTCACTCAGATGCCATAGAAAGTAAAGCTCTCGAGTAGACACGACCCCTGAACTGTCTCCCCTAGCAAAAACTGTGTTCGCTATGGTACGCTGGGCGATCCTAAAGGCAGGGTGAATAATGGCTATGGCCTTATCAGTTCTAGGGTTATACCCAAACAGCCCTGTGATTCTTCTCCAAAATTCACCCGCCATATAGTTACGGGGTTGCCTATCCTTAGGCCCCATAGTTCCAGAAACAGGCCACCCGAAAGCTTGGTTA